TTGCCATGACAGCTTTCCCCTTAGGTGCGATCCTGTTCGCACTTTCTTTTGCGGACGCCATCAACGGCTCTGTCCTGCGGTTTACCGTGTACAATGGGCTGATGGGGGTCGCGTCGGCCATGTTCGACATCAGTGGTCTCATGACACTACTGAGTATCTTCCCTAGCAGTCGGGGTGCCGTGATCGCCGTCATGAAAACCTTCATTGGGCTGGGGTCGGCTATTTTTGGATCTATTGCGCTGGGGTTTTTTGAAGGGAGTAGGACGAACTTTTTTTATTTCATGGCCCTGTTTGTCAATCTAGCGGGATTCCTCTCTCTCGTTTTTATAGAACTCCCCCCGTATCAGTTGACCACGTGGGAGGAGAAACACTTGCCAGAGGGGGAAAAGCGGAGCCGCCTGGCGACAAAACGGACCTACTTTGAACAGATTCCCCCCATGCGTCGCTTCGCCGTGGGGTTTGTTTTGGTGTTCGTCCTGTTTGTCTTTTTACCGACCCAAAGCGTCCTGACCTCTAATTACGATCTGTCTCCCCGCACGAAGCAGATGTTTGCGATTGCGACGGTGCTGTTGGTCCTGTCCTTCCTGGCCATGTCGCTGCCGATCAAGTGGTTAAATGGGGGAAGTGAGAACCTCGCCCAACGCGTGGAGGCGTCGGGGGACATCCTGGAACAGCCAGACCAAACCGGGACGGTCGACGCCGCGTCCTTGCAGCGCATGAGCGTCCGCCTCAGTATGCGCCTGGCGAGTACGCGGGGCAGTTTGGTGGAGGAGGCGATCTTTCACATGCCGATACAAGAAGAGGTACTCCTGTCTCCCCAGTACGAAACCACCTTTTTACAGAGCATAAGAAGGCCCGACTTGTGGGCTGTGGTCTATGCGTTGTTCTGCGCAGCAGGCACTCAAATGGTGATTATTGTGAATGCACGCTTTATTTATTCTGCGGTAAAAGGCGCCGCCATCACGGATGAGGTGAATACGATGCTTACCGTTGCCAACGGTGTCGGGAGTGCCTGGGGCCGCATACTGATGAGCTTGTTTGAGATGTACACACAGCGCAACAGTGTGCGGGAGCGGGTTCCGCTGACCATCGCCCTTTTTATTCCGTGCGCTTGCTCCCTTTTAGCGGCACTACTGCTGCTACTCTTACCTAAGGAGGTCATTGTAATCCCCTTTGCTGTCGCCGCCCTGGCAAACGGGTTTACTGCCGCCAGCGTTGTTCTAGTCATTCGGTCCATATACGCAAAGGACCCTGCCAATCACTACAATTTCACGTCACTCGGATCTATTGCGGCCACGGTTATACTCAATAAATTACTCTACGGGAAGTGGTACAGCTACCACGCAGGAGAGACGGGGCTTTGTTATGGGAGGGAGTGCATCCTCCTACCCTTTAGTATCATGTCCGCGCTGTGTTGCACCAGCTTAGCGGCGGTCTACTTTGTGCACCGCCGGTACACACACTTTTGCGAAAAGACATTTGAGGGGCAAGACCGCGCGAGTCGTGTGGCGACGGCAAACGAGGCCACGGGGGAAAGTGATGCTTTGTTATCCCCCGGCTAGCTGCGTTGCTTAGTTTTTGCTTTTTTTTTTTTTTTTAGATTACTATTGCCGTTGTTGTTGTTGCTGTTGTGTCCTTTTTTTCTTGTCTGGTCTGAAGAAGAAGTACACGTTTTTTTTTTTTGTTTTTTGCTGTTGTTGTTCTTTACTTCGTCTTCCCACGCCTTTGATCGATTGCTGACATTTTTAGCGCTTCCCCTTTCTCCCATTCTTTGTATCTTTCTCTTTCAGCGGTTCATTTCGCCTTTATCCACCTCTCGTTCTCGAACATGCTGTCTGCCACTTCTGCGCGGCTGAATGCCACGAAGGGCAAGTCCGTGTCCGAAATCGTTGGTCGTCATTGCTACAAGACGTGGAGCGCGCAAAAGGGATGGAAACCCCTGAACATTACGGGTGCGAAAGACTGCCACTTCTGGGATGAATCCGGAAAGAAGTACCTGGACGTCTCGTCGCAAGTCATTTGCTCCACCTTGGGTCACCAGAACGACGCCGTCACCAAGGCGCTGGTTGACCAAGCCCAGAAGCTGGCGTTCATTGCACCCGGCTTTGCCTTTGAAGCGCGCGCCCAACTGGTATCCCGTCTTCTCGAGGTTGTGCCGAAAGGAATTGACAAGTTCTTTTTCCCCACGTCTGGTACTGCCGCCAATGAGGCTGCCATCAAGATTGCCCGCATGTACACTGGAAAACACAAGATTGTCACCCGCTACAACTCGTACCACGGCGCCACCACGCTTTCCATGTCCCTGACGTCCGACTACCGCCACTTTGTCGCCACCAAAATGCGTACCATTGACGGCAACGGCGTCCTGCGTGCCCCCGAGTACCACCCCTACCGCCCTGGCCCCTTTGGCGTGACCTCTGACCGCCACATGGAGTATTTTGAATACCTGTTTGAGAACGAGCCGGATATTGCGTGCGTCATTATGGAACCCATTGTGGGCAGCAACGGCATTCTCATTCCACCGGAAGACTACTGGCCTCGCCTGCGCGAGCTCACCAAGAAATATGGAATCCTTCTCATTGCGGACGAGGTGATGTCCGGATGGGGCCGTGCGGGGGAATGGTTTGCGGTTGACAAGTGGAATGTTCAACCGGATATCATCACCACCGCGAAGGGCATTTCCAACTCTACCGGCCCTCTGGGTATGGTCGGCACGACCCGCGAGATTGCCGACTACTTTGAGGATCACGTCTTCTCCCACGGCCACACGTTCGAGAGTCACCCCATGACGATCGCCCCGGCCGTCGCCGCTATTGACGAGTACAAGCGTCTGAACCTGATGGAGTACTCCCGGACGGCGGGCGCCAAGTTGGGCGAAAAGCTTTCTGCACTGAAGGCGAAACACCCTTCCGTCGGTGACGTCCGCGGTACAGGTATGTTCTGGGCCGTCGACCTCGTCAAAGACAGAAAGACCAACGCCCCGTTCGCGACGAATGTGTCCAAGAGCCGCGGCGAACCCGCTCCGGTTGACATGGTCGGTGCAAAGATGATGGAACAGGGTGTGTTTGTGCTCACCCACGTGAACACGATCAACGTAGCCCCTCCTTTGATCATCACGGAGGAAGAGATGGATATTGCCGTAAAGGCAATTGACGAGGCACTCAAGATAACCGATGCTCTTGTCGTCAACTGAGCCGCACTCTGGACGCGTTATACATTCCTTTTTTTTTTTTTTTACTTTTTAATTATAATTTTTTTTACTTCATTTTCGATACCCCTATTGTCGAAAAATTCTCCCCCTCCCCAACCAATTCGTTCTTTTTCTACAATTTTTATGATTCATCGAGTTTAGCGTTTTCTTTTTTTTTTTTTTCTTTCGATTTTCGATCAAATTCACCTTTCGTTTACGTTCACCGGTACGGTGATAAGCTGTCGGGGAAAGGAAATTTTGTTGTTGCTGTTGTATCTCTTCTACTCTCCCTCACTCTTTTGTCGACCTTGAACTCCCTTTTAGGACGAGATAAAATAAAAAATAAAATGCGCCGGCGTGCCACGCTGCTCGCACCGAAAGATTTTGATGCATGGGCCTATGATATCCACTGGCCCAAAGACAACCAGAAGCTGCCCCTAAAGGGCTCCGTGCAGCTGACGGTGGAAGACATTAAATTTGCGTACAATGCATGGAGCCTACTCCGCCTCGCCCTTTTTTTCGGGACAGAATACCCAAAGGTCCTCTCGCCCCTGTCTGGTACCACTCCATCCATGGACATTGCGCGCGGGGGAAACCGCCTTTTTCACACGTACGTCCACACGGCCGCGCCTCTCTCCAAGGCGCGGACCAGAGTGGCCCTCACCCCGCAGCACCCGGAGGCGCAATCTGTGCAGCAGTTTGACTGGGCGTCGGTGACGAACGGCGCTTCCGGTGGGGTTGAGATTGTGTTGGGGATGGAAAATGGTCTGACCGAGGAGACGGTTCGGAAGTGCGACAAGTGCGTCTACATCCCCCAGTACGGCTCCATCGGCTCCTTGTCCATGATGTCTGCGTTGGCCATCGGCGCTCACTCGGCATACCGCGGCTTTTTCGGCGACGGCGCCCCGCCCAGCGACCACACTTTGGGCCATATGCCCCGCAGCAACAACCCCATCCAGCGACCGGGGACACTACCTCACGAGAGTGATTTGCTGCACTTGTCCAACGACGAAATAATAACCCTCCTGCGCGAACGGCGAAGTTACTACCCTCTGCAGATCGCTGTAGCCATGCACAATGCGTATGCCGACCGCAACATCAGCGCGGTGATGCGCAACGGAAATGCGTATAACATTGAGAAGTTTTTCATGCTGAACAGGCGGAAACACAACCGCCGCGGTGCCGTTGGGACGCAAAAACTTCTCGATATTGAGTACTCCGACACTATCCCCGCCGCCGCGTTGCAGGAGTATGAGGTGTGGCTCCTCTATCCGTACTATCCCTACCTGCGCTGCTACGGCTGCGGGCCGGACTCCCCAGAGCTCACCTATCTCCGTCCCGACTCGCCGGATCTCGTCGCCTATCAGAGCACCATCCATGGACTGAACGACAGTCATCCCCTGGTGAAATTGTATCCCCATTTGGCGCGAACCGAATTGTTTCTCGACGACTCCCCATCGCTCTTCCGTGCCGTAAAGGAGGTGCGGCGACGAAACAAGAAGGGCATCCTCCTTGCGGTGCCTGAGGAAGGGACGTCCCCGCACCACACTCTCGCGTCGCACGCTTCCAGAACTGTTTTTGTGGCGCAACCGTGTCACATCGACCCGACGGTACAGAGGGGGCTGAACCCGGCCCTGTCCACGGCTATTGCGTTTGAGCGAATTCGGAGTGCAATCGATGCACTTCTTCACATCTAATTGAACTGCAAAAAAAAAAAAATATGATGACTTTTCGTCCCCCTTCCTTTCCCCCCTATGCCCACTCCCACGATTGACCCTCCCTCCCCCCTCAGCCACTAGGGGAAAAAGTATCCCTCCGGACGGAATCGAACCATCGACCATTCGATTACTGCTACTCTACAGTCGAATGCTCTACCAATTGAGCTACAGAGGGTTAAAAACCGCCCGATAATTCGTGTTGTCTCGCAGAGCCTTTTTTTCCTCTGCGGGGGACTAGGCGGTTCGGGATGGTGCCGCCCCCATGAGGGCCAAAAAAAAAAAAAAAAGCCGGGCGGCGTCGCGTTGCGCTGATACGGCCGCGGGCCCCCTCTCCCCCTTTTCGGAGGGGGGCGGGTGGCGCTCCCCGCCACGCCCAAGCCCCCGGCCGCGCGAAAACCCCCGCCCAAGCCGAAACCAACCGCGACTCCCCATCCTTCCCCTTTTCCACCTTTCTTCTGGCACCTCAAGAAGTTTTTTTTTTTTATCCCCCTATGCGTCCCGCTATCGTTGTGGTGGCGCTTCTCCTTTCCTGCTCAACTGTGCTGGCGGAGCACACATGTATATACGGCCTTGTCCGACTTCAGCAGGCACAAAGCGGCACGGTGCCGTCGGGCAAAGAAAAAGAGTACAGTCGGCTGACCGAAAACCAGTTCGAGGCCGCGCGATACCTGAAATTCTACAGTGATTTCAGCAATCTTTACGAGACCGACACGCTTTGCGAAAGAGCGGGTCAAACCCGCTCCACACTATTGGGAGAGAGCATTACCTGTGCCGAGGAAGATGTGCTCACCGATGAGAAGAGAGATATTTTGGAACACTACATTATACCCGAGGCAACCTCGCTGATCAGCAGTGCAGTCAAAGCCACGTACAGCGGCACTCTTTCGTTCAATCCCCCACAAAACAGCCCCTGCCGGCTTTTCAAAATACCGGAAGCGTTACAACAAGAAATAAATGCAGACGTTATTCTGCTTGTCGGAGCTGCGCCCCTCCTCACTCCGTCTGTTTGGAGCACACCGTGCGAGTTCTTCTCGTTTTCCAACGATTTCAGGGCCGCTGTCAACGTCCCACCGCGCATGATTAAAAGAGATAACAAGTCCGTGAGGGCGGTAGCTCACCAACTGATTCATATCCTCTCCGGTGATTTTCTCTCTCGCTCATATGCCTATCTTCCCCAATACGATGAGCGAGGTAAGACAACATGCGCCTATTCGTTCACCCAGGCCGTAAATGCCGCGAGAGAGCACTACGGCTGCGAACCAATGACCAGAGTAGAACTCGCCTCGTGTGAAGACCTGATACACTGGAGTCCGCGTACCGCCAAGGACGACTTAATGTCGGCCGTTGCAAACGACATGATGTATATGACGGCGATTACACTCGCAACGCTGGAAACGGTGGGTGCATATGCTGTAAACTACAACAAGGTGGAGAGAATGCCTTTTGGGTATAAATCCGGATGTGATTTTTTGCAAAAGCCGTGCCTCGTAGACGGAAAGTCGCTTTTTCCCGACATTTGGGCGGATCACGACAACCGAGTTCGGTGCACCCCCGACCGTCTGGCAATCGGTACTAGCGATACGGTGCGCAACAGAAGCCAAAGATGTGTTTCCAATATTTACGATTACTTTGGTGACGGGATGTGCAACGATGAGGCGGCCTTTGACTACTGCCCTCGATTTTTGCCGACAACCTATTGTGTGAACTCTGAATCAACAGTTGGCCGGTGCATCAACGAAGCATCTGACTCGGGAGCGGAATGTTTTGACATTATATGTGACTACACCGCCAAAACATTTTTGATCGTCCAATACACCACGTCAAAAGTGGCGCCAATCGTGTCCTGCTCGGAAGGTTCAACATTCGCTTCGAGAGGTAAACAATACACGTGCCCACGTTACGTTGACATGTGTCCATATAAAGGGGCCGGATACACGCAAAAGTCAAACAGTGTGACGTTCAACTTGTATATCCCTTTTGCCGTGTTGGCTTTTTTGCTTTTTTGCTGTTGGATGTGAACTACCACGTCCTCCTCTTTGCCATCATTCTCCTGTTTAGAATTAAAATGAAACTAAGCCCAATTAAAACGGCAAATCAATGTATCTTTCTTGTCACGGTCGCCGTGTTTTTTTCTTTTATTTTTTGTTTTGTTTAGGGTTCAGTATTTCATAAGTTTTTTTTTTTACTTCTTATTACTATTCTTTTGATAACCCGTTTATTTCCATGTCAATCAGGATACATTTTTGATGTTTTTTTTTTTTTTTTTTTTAACTTTGCCAACGTTGTAAAGTCTTTCCATCTGAAAACCTCGTTCCGTCTTTCACGTTGCCTTTTTTTTTTTTTAAGTCAGTTTCCATCTTTTCAGAGGAGTAGCGCATGCGCACCATTCGTGGCACAGTTTCGAAATCTTCGCCGAGGCTCATGCACAGTGGTGACAGATCGTATGTGCCCTTCTCCGACGCAATCCACGCTGTCGCAGATCGACAAAAGTGAGTTATTCGCTGAGCAATTACTGAAATACCCCGGGCCGTTTCGAGGAAATTTCCCCGCCAAATCAGGAGCCATTTCTTACGGGGTGGATAGGTTTCTCTAATCGAGTTTCTTTGTCAGAGCCAACTTGCACAGTCATGAGGAGAAAAGTAGCTTAAACGTTGACCCTTGTCATACTATTTTCCCGTCACCCTAGTTGGCCTACTTGGGCGTCTTTTTCTGGTCTGTGTTTTTTTTTTTATTATTATTATTTGTTCTAAATGAGATTGCCCGATCACCTTTAGAGACCGCCTCGCGTTGCGCTCCGTCTATCCGGAGAAACTAGACTATTGCGTGGGAAAACGGCATTTCGCTGCGCCATTCACCCGGTTAAAAAAGAAAGAAAAAGAAAACCCGGCCTATCGGTCTATTTTTTTTTTTTCTTTTTACCCCACGCACACTTTTCATTAATGTTGTTTCTGCTAATCGTTGTGTATACTTGTTTGTCAATGGGGCAACGGAGGCAACTCGGTCGAGGCGGAGATTAACACCCAAACGACATGAGGCTTAGCTCTCCCTCGCTAGACTTCGTATAGGATCCGGTACCTCTTAGTTTGCGTCAGTTCACCGCTCCAACCGTGGGAACGACAGCTCGTTTTTCGGAGGCTGCCGCGCGTTGTCCCCCGTCCGCTGAGTGAAAGCGGCCTGCTGTCCCGGAAAAGCTGTATTTCACGGTATGGATAACGGTGTTCGAAAACGTCTGCTTGTCGGTTTATTTTGTGCGTTTATGCACGTCTCGGAGGACGACTCGTTTATTGACTCTTACGCGTGCCAGCTATTCTCAAGGGGATTGCCCTCGAGTTATGGGGGTCGTAGTTACCACTTTTCAATCTCATTTTTCTCTTTCTCTAATAAGATTTTTTCATTTCATTTTGTTTTCTTTCCACCACTACCTTTTTTTTTTTTTCCCTCCGCATCTGAATGACATCTCCGCCCCGTCATTCCGTCCGTTCCATCCTGTTTACAGGGCTACTATTACTGGGAGTAACAAGTGCCGCAAATGATGCGAACGCCTACACGGTGAGTTTGCTGACCGCAATGGGGATTTCTGGCATTACCCCCAGTAACGTTTGTACCACTTCCGGTATCACCTGCAGTGGTGGGTTTGTAACGGCAATCAACTTAAAGGCGACCCCATCTTTTACGAGCACCACCAGAACATTACCGGACCATTCCATAACACCGTTTAATACATACAGCTATGAAGCTATGACGATCACTTCTCTGGAATGTAACGCGTGCGGATTACTCACCGGCACTCTCCCGGCAGTCTGGGGGCGGTTAAAGGCACTGACGTCTATGGAATTTCGTATCTGCCGATTCACGGGAACCGTTCCCGCGGAATGGGGAGGACTAAGCGCACTAACGTTCCTTGGCCTCGGGAGTATCGGATTGACCGGCACACTTCCACCGGAGTGGAGTGGAATGAGCAAGTTGGAGAGAGTTAATTTGGACTCGAACAAGTTTACTGGTACACTGCCGAGCAGTTGGAGCAGTTTGACCGGACTCACCACTGCTTGGCTTCAAAACAATCAGTTCACCGGTACTCTCCCGCCGGAGTGGAGTTCTATGACTGCTATCGATGATTTGGAAGTTCAAACCAATAAGATTACCGGCACAGTGCCGCCATCGTGGGGTTCCATGACGAAACTTCGAGTGTTCGGATTACAAGAAAACCAGCTGACCGGTACACTGCCACCACAGTGGAGCAACATGAATGCACTTCAGATTTTTTACCTTTTCAACAATCAGCTGGACGGTACACTACCGGCCCAGTGGAGTGGCATGACCTCAATGAGAGATTTACGAATGTACAACAATCAGTTTACCGGACCACTCCCACCATCGTGGAGTTCTATGACAGCGTTGGTCACACTTTTGGTGCGACAAAACCAGCTCACTGGTACTCTCCCGCCGGAGTGGAGTTCTATGACTGCTATCGATGATTTGGAAGTTCAAACCAATAAGATTACCGGCACAGTGCCGCCATCGTGGGGTTCCATGATGAAACTTCGAGTGTTTGGATTACAAGAGAATCAGCTCACCGGCACACTGCCACCACAGTGGAGCAACATGAATGCACTTCAGATTTTTTACCTTTTCAACAATCAGCTGGACGGTACACTACCGGCCCAGTGGAGTGGCATGACCTCAATGAGAGATTTACGAATGTACAGCAATAAGTTTACCGGACCACTCCCACCATCGTGGAGTTCCATGACGAACCTCGTGACTCTTCGTGTTGAGCAGAACAGTCTTACCGGCACACTGCCAAGCAGCTGGGGTTCCATGACATCACTGAGTACCTTATATCTTTATGGGAACGAGCTTACCGGCACACTACCGCCGCAGTGGAGTACACTGACCAAGCTTCAGTACTTTTACCTTTTCAACAACCAGCTCACTGGTACACTACCATCGCAGTGGAGTACCATGACGACGCTGTACTATTTTCAGCTGTACAACAATTCGTTTACGGGTTCACTGCCGGCGGGTTGGAGTTCCATGACGAACCTCGTGACTCTTCGTGTTGATCAGAACAGTCTTACCGGCACACTGCCGATTAGCTGGGGTTCCATGACATCACTGAGTACCTTAAATCTTTATGGGAACGAGCTTACCGGCACACTACCGCCGCAGTGGAGT